TAATTTTGATTTTAGGCGTTTGAATTTTCGTTTAAACATTTAAATTTTTCATGGACATACTGGAGGACGTCCATCTTAAAATCAATTTGCTGATCTTGGGAAACTTTTTCGAAAATATCCCCAATGGCACCCAAGATATTGTCGTAAGGTTTTTGGCTTTTTAAAAATCCACTTACATCTTCAACTAATGAATTCAAGCTGCTGTCCTGATCTTCATTTCGCTTCTTACGTTTAGGAGGAACAGGTTCCGAGTCTTCTGTTTGACTATTTAAAACTAGATTGCCACTTTCGTTGAAGTCAAACGCAAATGAAGACCCAGAGTCTTCTATTTCGGTAGTAATGTTGGTGGTTGTGCTATAAAAATCTAAGTGTAAGCGCAATGGTTTCCATATTTTTAAACGTACATTTACTTACTTTCTGGGTGCAACAGTTCCTTTTAAAAAAGACAGAGTATCAAAATAAGCCCAGTTCTTCCTGAACGAAGTAGCACTTCCACTTGGCTGGTGCTGCAACTTCAACTCAATAGTAAAGCGGTCACGCAAGGATTTCCACCGTTTGCGGCAGTCAGCCTCTTTAAATGGAAAATGTGTGCAGGTATATACAATTAGTTATATTACATGCATGTATCATGATTTTTGGTACTTACCAGATTCCCCAACAACAGCAGACACATCGCGCCAGGCCATGTCTTTTTTGTTTTTATCCCTGTAACACAACAGGCTTTTGTCCCAGATACACCGGTGCTTTTCAATTGCATTTATTAAATTTTCTTCGAACATTTCTGCAGAAAAACTTAAAATCAAATTAAATATCTTCAATCGCTCGAAATTCGTAAATGAATCTATAAACCAAATCAAAACAAATGAACAGCAGGGATGTTACAATTTCCATTGTCAAAAGCGCTGTCAAATAGAACATTGAGCTATTTGAAACTTCGCCGTACTTCAAGTGCTTGAAGCAAAGCTGCCATTTGTTCTCGTTTCATATATTTTAGTATTATTCCAATTATTTTTGACAGTGATCGAAGCAAAGCAAGCAAAGCCAGCTTGCATTGGGCCAGCACCTTTAGAGTGTGGATGCTCCAAGAGGTTTCACTTTTTCGAAAAAAGTTGCCACCTGTTAAGAAATTAAGTTCAAAATAATACGCGAAGGCATTTTTTTCCGCATTAAAGATCTGCACCGTTCGTTCGATTGGCCTGTAGATGTGTAAACTGGTTTTATTTTTTCGAAAGGCGTTGCCACCTGATAAAAAACTGCATTCAAATAATTTAATAACCAATGCCATCAGATCCACACCGACGATCGATTTTCAAAAGTGAGGTGCCAAATCAAAGGGCTCTGGCTGTAGGTGTACAATAAGGTTTAGCTTTTCGAAAAGAGTTGCCACCTTTTAAAAAATTAAGTTCAAATTATTTAAAAAGCTAAACCAATTATTGCAAAATGGGCATAAATGGAAATAGTTATGAAAATCTTTGTTTCTTAACTTAACGTTAAGAGGATTGACACCTGTTAAAAAATTCAAATTCAATTTGAATTAGGGGAATTAGGTGATATAAATATATATTTGTGCCAGACGGTAAAGGTTAAGTATGCAGTAGTTTGTAAACATTTTGAAGGGGGTTGCCACCTGTTTGAAAAGTCTAATTTATATGAAGTATTAAAATATGGACGCCAAGCGAATGAATCTTAAGAGATCTTTAGTTGGAACGTTTAGAATATTTTTAAAGTGTTTGAAGAGGATTGCCACCTGTTTAAAAATTAATTTCAAATTATTTAAATAGTTAAATCAATATTTTTTTATTTATTGGGTACCAATCGTAGTCGTTTTGAAAATACTTTATTTCTTAACTGCGTGTACAAGGGTTGCCACTTGTTTAAACAATCAAATTCAATTTGAACTAAGGCAATGGGGTAATTAAAATAGGTATAACAATATCGGTATCAGACGAAAGACATTTAAGATGATTTTAGGTTTAACATATTTTTAATAGGGTTGCCACCTGTTCGAAAAGTCTAATTTAATTCAATTATCGATATAAAACTAAAAAGTGTTACGAAATCTTAGTTTGCACATTGAGAATATATTTTATGAGTTTGAGGAGGGTTGCCACCTGTATAAAAAGTTATCAAACAAAAAAGTATTAGTAAATCTTAGTTTAAATATTAGGAATATTTTTAAGGCGTTTGAGTAGTGTTTTCACCTGTTTAAAAAGATAAATTCAAATTATTTATTAAATCAGGTGAATTATTAAAAAATGGAAATAAAACGAAATGATTTTGAAAAGGCTTTATTTCTAAACTATATGTAAGAGGATCGCCTCTCTTAAGACTTCAAATTCAACTCAATACATCTTTTTTAAAAGTCGATACCTTCCACATGTACGTATATGAAATATTGCTCAAACACTAGGAGTGTCAAGAGGAAGAGGTTCTTTAAAAAAAAAACAAGTTATTTCAAATTAAGGTTCCGTGACCCCAACTTCGTCTAAAACACACTTTTTTAAACAATTATGTTTCATTTATTAGAAATCTGTATCGTAGAGTTTTGACCGTTTTTTTTTTACTTGGTGCTGCCACTTCTAAAAATACGACAGGTCATGTAATATTTCACACGCTTATTTCAAGGTTAGAAAGCCAACATTCTGCAGATCTGCAAAATGCATTATATATGTGGCAACTCTTCAACACACTGAGAGCTGCGTACACGTAAACAGCTGAGAGCTTAGCTCAATATGTCAAATTCCAGTATCGA